ACTCTCGGGACATGCGTTTGTCGTGTCCAGGCGTTCGTGCGTGGTCTCAGTCGTTGTTTCCTCATCGGGAGGCCTTTCGGCGTCTGATCGTTTGGACTCTTCCTGCTTCTGCTGCTGTTGTTTCTGTTGGCGAACGGGCTGACCCTGTATACACAACCAGCGGCTACGGCCGCGTACCTCTTTGTTTGCTGTGGGCCAACGACCTGACGATGTTGCTGCTTTTCTCGTCGCCGCCGCTGCCGCTACCTGTAACCCATTCCCCATCCTTCTTCTTCCCCTACCCCCTTCCCCATCCTTCCCCTATGCCCTATACCCTTCCCCACCCTTCCCCTATCCCCTATCCCCTTCCCCATCCTTCCCCTATACCTTATACCCTTCCCCATGCTTCCCCTATACCCTATACCCTTCCCGATCCTTCTTCTTCCCCTATCCCCTTCCCATCCTCCCCATTCTTCATTGCTTTCCCGCCGATGTACGTGGATGGCATGATTGACCAGGGGCGGCAGGCGAGAGGAAGACGGCCATGACGACGACGATGATGGGTTTGTTTCTGCGGGATCGTCAGTCGTGGTTACCCAGGCGTTCGCCGTGACCGACACCGGGATGACAGTCCCGCGCGGGACTGTGTGCAGCGTCGTGGAGGGCGTCGACGAGTGGGGGAACATCCACGTCAAGTTCCCGCACCGGCAGCCTCCCTGGGTGGCTCTGGTCGGGAGGCTGTACGCTACCTTGGCCGAACTCCAGGTGATCATTTTTTTTGGGGGGGGGGGGAGTTGGGGCGTAATGGATTCTTCCGTGTTTGGGTGGCGTGTGATTTTGTTCTCGTTTGGTTGTTCGTTGATTGGCGTCCGCTGTGCTACTCATTGCCTGGCTGTACCGGAGCCGTGTGTGCGGACGTATGTGGGTGCATTGGTGTGTGCATGTGTGTTTCTTATTGTTTTCAACGTAGTGGAAGAGAGAGCGACACGAGCTCCCGGTTCGGGATACATCCACCAGCGTCTAGTTGCGTGTGTGTTTTTATTGTTAGCATCGACCGCGCTAACCGGCTGACCAATGAAAAGACGTCAGTCTTAGTGCGGTTGAAAACTTCGTGTGTGTTTTTTCTTTTCTTTGGTTCTTGCGTGACGGGATAGACAAGATTGCACTTTCTCGATTTTTAACTCTGGAATATGTGTGTGTGTTCCCGCCACCCGGTTGACTCATTGTACAAGACATTGATATCTTCCTCTACCAAATTAGAGTTGGGAAATAGAGCTTGCGCTGCTGCCACTCGTGTTGGTTTCCCTCCCCGACCCATCGCCTGGAAAACTGACACGGTCATCGTGCGATAATCTCCATCACATCGAATCCCGCTAGCCTTCGCTCGAATTCGCCCACGTTCCTTATCGGAGTCTGTTCTTGGGGTTATTCTCCACGTTTCCAGCATTAATGGGCCTGGTTGTCCTCCGGCCTTCGGTATCTCGACGCGACTACCAGAGCTCTTGCCTACCGTTGTCTTGCTGAACTATGAAGCATGCCGTCTCTCATGGAACCCGAAAACTCTCCTCCGCTCTCTCCGCCGTACCAGGGGATGGGAGGTCGGTTTTCTGAGGCGTCGGCTTTGTCTGTGGCCGAGCGGCTGTCGGACGCGCAAGCTGTCGTGGGCCTGATGAACAGCGTCTTCAGGCACTCGGAGTGCGGGCCTTTGCGCGCCGAGACGGTGCTGAGGAGCTGCGCGGCGCAGGTGTTTGTCGTTGCTGCTGCTGCTGCTGCTGCTGCTGCTGCTGCGGCTGCTATTGCCGCTATTGTTAGTGTTGTTGTATAGACTGGGATGTTTGGTTGGGTGGTTTCGGCCTGTACCGGTAGGCTGGATGCCCGTCTTTCTGTATTTTCGAGTGTGGCAGTATTTTTCCGTCTGTTGCAAATGAACGGGATTGATGTGCCTTCTGTCGATCCTTCCGACAACCATCTACCCCGCCCCCACCCCTTCCAAAGTCACTGCAGCGTTCCTCTGGTGTGGCGGTGGCGGCTCAAAAGTGCTTTGTACCTGAACCTCCGACTGACCTTGCGCTTCGTCAACGTTTTTTTTTTATTGTGCTCGGCTGTCCCTCTCTGTGCAGGATTGGCTCGTGGCGGGAGGTTTCGAGCACCTGGCGAGGCTGTTGAAGGAGAGCAGGCGCACCTTGGAAGGCGAGCTTAGGACGGGGAGATGCTACGCGGACCCCTATGCGAAGGTGAGTGCTACCGTATACGACACAAGGTAACACACCCCCCGGACCGATTTCCAAAGCTCGATCACGCCACGACGAAGAACATTCATTAACGAAACGATGCATTTTCGGGGAAGCTCTCAACGGGACGGCTTCAACGCCGCCGTTCTCTCTGCTGTTGAGAAATCGAGCTTTGAAAATCGGTCCAGGGGGTGTGTTATCTTGTGTCGTACATGGTAACTGACTATGGACTGCTAGCGTAGCCGACGACTTGTGCGTTTTTTTAAGGGGGAAGGTTGCAGCGGTGCGGTGGGGGGATTTGCTGGCACGGAACTTGTGGTGGCGGTCGTACCGTACCGTATTTGTTTTTTGTGGTTTTCGTCGAAAATGAAAAGAAGGGAAAGCACTCCTTCTCCGTCCCGCTGTCTGACGTCCTACCCCTCCTATGCTCCGTCTTCTCGAGGACCCTCTCGAGGACGCGTGGTCAGTGGTCTAACAGCTAACACCGCAGGAGGGGGTCCAACCCCCCCTCCTGTGTGACCCCGGTTGGGTCGTCTAGCTAGTAGAAGTGGAGGATGGGGACCAGAGGGGCAGACGACAGAGTCCAATGATGGAAGAAAAAAAAAAAAAACATGCACAAAATGAGCACGCCCCCCCCCCCCCCCCCCCAAGGAAAACCCCTCCACCGAAAAAAAAAAACCCCCGGGCCGGGGAAAAACCCGGGGGGCCCCTCCCCGCTTTTTGGGGGTGGCAAGGTCAAGGGTTTAAGACTACCGGATGGCCGAATATAAATACCCCCCCCCCCCCCCTGGAAAACCCCCCCCATTCACATTTAAAAAATGGCCCGGTTTTCGGGCCAACCAAAAAAAGCCCGGGGGGGGGGGGCTCTCCTGGCCCCCTTCCCGGGGGAAGGGAACCCCTTCCCCCCCAAACACGGGGCCAGGTGCTTTCCCCCCCAACTCCCCTGGAACCTGGGGGGGATTCTCCCCCCCCTTGTGCCCCTCGGGGGGGGGCCCCCCCCCCCCCCAAAACAGGGGG